TCAAAGATCTATTTAATGACGTGGCCTAAAAAAAAGAGGGAAATTCTACTTTATAGATATATATGGTACTAAAAGACTTTCACTGGAAAACTTATGGAAAATTTATTGGAAGACTTAATTTTAGGCGGGAAACCTAAATTCTTTTAACATCTTAAGTGAGAAAATGCTGTTAAGTCATCCAGTAAGTCTTCTAATGCATTATATCTTTGAAAATTTAAGTTTTCCAAAACTCCAAAATAAAATATATAACTAAATTACATACACAAACTTTATTAAACTTAAAATAAACTTAGAAAGTATTTAATATACACAAAAGTAAACACATATAGGTAAAATTTAGTTTTAAAAATAAAAATGTTAAGATTCCACAATATAATCCTAAAAACACATACAATACTACAACATAGCTACCAAACCGTAAACCAAAGAATATCATGACTAACTTACATTCACTCATCTATCTTGAAAACTATAAAGTTTTATCAATTCTAAATTTACATCATTTATAAATTTCAATAATTACATGATTAGGGTTTTTTACTAATGAAAAATTTGTAAAATTTTATATAATTTGTAAGTTATTTTTAAGATCTACAACATGAGAAGACTTTCAGGTAAGTATCTGAAAATTTTCTCACTCGCACGGTTATAATGGTACAATCATGTTTTTTTTGTTTGGTCATGAGGAGATGTTTGTAATTTCACTAAACGTTTTAGTTACTTTTGCATTTGATTTGAGTTGGAATACACTTTTGCATTTATAATCAAGTTTTGAGTCATATTTGGAAAATTTCCCATTTGTCTGTTTTTCATTTATTTGACATATTTTTAGAATATATATATATACTAGGGAAAGCCCGTCCTACGTGCAAATTAATAAATAATATAAATTACTTAAAATATTTAACTTATTCTTCACTTAAATTATAATTAATTTTCATGTTTTTATTAAAAACATTTACCTATTTATTTTAAAAAGCATAAGCTTATTAATTATTAAAATTTTAAGGAAATTATTACTTTACTTTTTAATGTTTTTTTAATTTAACTATTCTAATAACTAAAGATAATAATTTTTTAAAAATTGCTCTATAAGTATAGTGAAGTTATAAGTAATAACTAATAATTAGTGAAAAGTTCAGATTACCTAAAAAAATATTATGATGTTGGAAATTAAAACAATTACGTATTTGAGTAACCCATGATTAGAGGTTTAAAAATAAATGGTACTTGGAGATTAGCATAGTATAATTCTTACACCTTACTCTATACATAATATTTTCTATCATATATTCTGATTTCATTTAAAATCAATTAGTTATATATAACATGCTAAAGTGTTTTATAATAATTTTGGATTATATAATATTTATTTAATCAGATTTATTATTTTAAATAAGAAGTTTGTAAACTTAAAATCTAAGATACTAAATATGTTAGTATAAGAAAATTTATTTACTATATTATGTTAATATTTTTTAAAAATATATGATCTATTGTAAAATACAAATGGGTATTTGTATTTTAAAATTTATTTACAGATATTCAATTATTAAAAAAAAGAAAAACATTTGATTATCTTTCAAATATATATATATATATAGATTTATTTTAATTATGTAAAATAAATATTATAATGATACGGTATACATGCTAGGATGATGACATGTTGTCACAAAATTTAAAACTATTTTTAAATAATATAATTTTAAGAGTTTAAATTATAACCATATTAGTAGAATTGATTTATAAGTTGTTAGTTTATGCTTCACGTCGGATTTAAGAAGGCCATAAAGAGGAAGAATCTATATTTCAAAGCGTTTCAGTTACTAAAAGTTAATACAAAGAGATGCGACTGATGAAGATTGATCTGAGTCAAAAAAATCTCTCGAAACACCATTGAAGGTGACAGAGAACCAAACGATCATTTCTTGGTAGTCAGAACTCAGAAGTCGCCGCAAAACAAAGAGGAGAGACGAACCATAAAATTCCATGTTTCGTGAAAATACAATTAAGATTATCTTTGCAAGGATATCGGGCTATCTGCACATCAAACCATAAGCCCAATCGATATACATAGTTCAATAACACAAACGAAATAAGCCTAAATACACGAAATATATGACTTAATGAAACACAAAATTTAATGAGATGAGACACGTGACATGTTGTTGGAGCGCAAATTAGTGACATGGTGTAACATGAGAGAAAAAACTCTTCTTTATAATAATAGACTAGATGATAACCCGCGCCATGCGCGGAGTGAGTAAATTAAAAAATTATTACATAATATATATATATATATATATATATATATATATATTAGAAAGTAATATTGGATATAATGATATATCTTACTACAATGTGGAGGTTTTTATAATGTAAGATTATTTGATTTTTATATGAAAAAAGTTTGTGTAGTTAGATATGTGCAGTGAAATATATTATATGAAAAGAAACTATAAAAGTAAGTAAACATTTCTTTAAATTTATTATAAACTTAAGAAAAAAATAGGTAATAAAATTATTGCATTCATAAGAAAATTTTGATGATAATAATTAAAGAAACATAAGTAATAGAAAAATAAAACACCAAATAATGTGATTATTGTCTTCAAATCTCATTACAGTATAAAAACCATTTATGTGGTCTCTCCACCAACAGCCGAGTATTGCTTCCAAAGTTGAATGACTTTCACCTTAATCTTTCATAGCGACTTCATTGGTTTAAATCAGAGATGTATTCAACCCTTGCATTTTGAATGATACTTTTAAATCGCTTGGTTTGTGATGGAGTTGTAGGCATAGTATCGACTCCATATATATAGTATTTTGGATACAAATTTATCACCATAAATTGTTAGTATATTTTTCGCTAATTACATATCTTCTGATTGATAATATAATTGTATAGAATCCCTAGTTGATCATGTTTTCCAGTTTAATTACGAAAAACTAATGAGACAAAAATATGCAGAGTTAATGTTTAGATATAGGGAGTTAATACTATGTAATTAATGTCAAATATTCTTAATATAATAAATAAAATTTAATAGTTAGTGCATATAAGTTATTTGGTTACTAAAATATCGTAGAGGACCGGCTATGTTTCCGGCAAAAACTATAAGTATAATTTTTTTCCTAACCTATTTAATCTTTAATTGTTCATAATATATTATGTTTAGTATGTCTTGAGTTTTTAATTTTGTATTAATAGCTATTTTTAGGCATTCGCTATAATATTTGTGGATTTTTATATGATCAAAACATATGAAAAATTAAATTTGGTATACACTTAGCATATTTAATATTTAATATTTAATTATTTCTAATATATTAAATTTAGAATCAGTTGATTTTTGAATTTTGTATTAATATTAGTACATTAATTTTAATTGCATTTATGTTAGCACATTTATGTTAGCGCATTTATGTTAATTGGTAAGAAATCAATTGAAATATATATAAAATAATCAAAATTCCTTGATAGGTAACTAACCATATTTGATGTTCTTCTATTTTAGAAAATAGAAGTCATTTTAATTGGATGTATCTTCAACAACAATTTTAAAACTGTGATTAAACAATCACATTAAATTTGGAATAAAATCTTTTTGACTGCTTAATTTAGTGACATAATTTATGTTTATTACCATTTATAGCGGTGATGACCATTATCATAATTACATGAATAATATATATAATTTACTATGTTGTTAATTCTATGAATCCCTAATTTATGTTTATCATTAATTTTTATTATAGTAAACTATATATCGAATAAATAATACATATAATTTACTATATGTTACTCGAATAAATAATATAGTATTTTCAGTTACACTTATTTATTATTTATATGTAACATTATATATAACGTAAATCATAAAATAACATTTAATATACAGTTATTTATACGCCAGTGACATTTATATGCCCTGCTAAATATATAACATGAAAATCTATAACATGATCATAAAAAATATTTTTTATATACACTTATTTGCATATTTTATTTACATGTAAATAAAATATATTTCTATATAAATAACGTGAATATGAAAATAAGATAGCTATTCATGTTAATATAAAAAAATACATTTATATATCAAACTATATGTTACTCGAATAATATAATACATATGTACTATGAAGATTTATATACAAATTGTTATTTGAATATAAAAATAACATAATATTTTCGCGTTATTTGAATCTATATGAACGATTAAAACCAATAAGTTTAATGTTTTGATAAAAATAACTTTTTGTAGGTTGATTTGCCAATGGCATGACATGTAATTATTCTAGGCCAAAGAGGGTTATTTAAAAAGGGTTGTGAGATGGAATATGGTGTTGACACCTAAGAAATGACAAAGTTGTGAATCACACATGAAATAAAGGTTTGTTTATAAAAGTTCTCCTCAAATAATAAGAAGGGGATAGATAGATAGTTAGTGAATGATTGAGTTTAATTAATATTATTAGATATAGATTAATTAATTTTCTGAAATCTATGATTTATTGTATTCACTGTTAATATAAATATATTAAAAATTATTTTTATAATAATTTATGTATTATTATATTTATGTATAAATGTATTTTATCATTTATATAATGTAATATATGATATTTAATTATTTTTATAAATATATTATGTTAAAGATGTTTATTTGTATGTTTAACAATATATTAGATTAAATAATTTTAAGATTAGTTTCCTTTTAAACTTTTAATTAAATAAATAAAAATAGAAAACTATCAATCAATTAAATTATAGCAGGATAGCACAATTTCACATATTACAATTCAATGTAAGAGTATTAATAGTTCACTGTTTGTGGAGAAGCATAGCACAATTTCACATATTACAATTCATAAAAAGACTCTTACATAAATAAATGCATTATGTGATAAAATAAAACGACGACCTTATATAAGAACCGACAAAATAAACAGAGGAAAAGTGAGAAACGCTTAAAACCTTTCAAAAACACATGAACTCTTCTTCTTCCTCCTTCCCTAGTTCCCCTTCAAAGTTTGTTGATTTGGGATCTGCGATCGGACAAAAAGAAGTGAAGAAAATCTTGGTGTTGTTTCTCGTTTTAGCTGCTTCATGTTTACTTCTTTACAAAACAGCTTATTCTCTTCGTCAAGAGCTCCATGTCAACAATCTTTCTTCTCCTCGTCCTTTGCTCGATCACCCCTCCTCGTCTTCTCCACAAACAGTGAGCTATTAATACTCTTACATATGTCTCCATCTGTGCTTTGTCTGAAATGGGTTTGATCTTCTTTTTTTTTTGGAATCTTTAATCAGAAACGTGTTTCTTGTTTTTTTTCTCAGAAATCAGAAACAATCAGTTTTAGAAAAGTTCTGGAGAACGCATCAACAGAGAATCGAACAGTTATCGTAACTACGTTGAATCAAGCATGGGCAAAGCCAAACTCTCTGTTCGATTTGTTTCTTGAAAGTTTTCGTATAGGACAAGGAACACAGAAGCTACTTCGACATGTGGTTGTTGTTTGCTTGGACTCCAAGGCATTTGATCGGTGCTCACAACTTCACCCGAATTGCTACTATATAAAAACACCAGGAACTGATTTCTCCGGCGAGAAACTTTTTGCTACTCATGATTACCTCAAAATGATGTGGAGGAGAATCGAGCTCCTCACACAAGTGCTTGAAATGGGATTTAACTTCATCTTCACGGTACTCATCTTCATCACCCATGTCAAAATTTTGTTCTTTACAAATCTTTTGGATAAATCTATGATCAATAAACTCTCTGTGCATATGGTCATACTGTCGTATTACAGGATGTGCATTTACATTAGCATAGGACCCATATAAAAGTTTACATAACTTATCTATATTTTCAGTTCCAAGATGTTAAGAAAATTATTTATGTACATAATATATTGTCTGAAACTAATACATTGCATTGAATAAGGTTAGGCAGTAAATATATACTATATCACAACTATTATTACATCTACCTAACTAATATGCATTAATATATTGTCTGAAATTAATACATTACATTGAACAAGGACCTAGGCAATAAAAATATACGTATCACAACTACTATTACATCTTGCCTAACTAATGCACGGTAAGTCCATTAATAATTGAAGACTTCACAATGAATAATTTAAACACAGAATTATTGTCCAAGTGTGTGAGCATTAGAAAAAAAAAGTACAGCCATATGTGTGCATAATAAATATTACTACATTTGATATAAGAAGTTCAGTTAACGCAAAATGATGATAAATTCCCTATATATATATTTAGGATGCAGATATAATGTGGCTTCGAGATCCATTTCCTCGGCTATATCCAGATGAAGACTTTCAAATGGCTTGTGATCGATTCTTTGGTGATCCTTATGACTCAGACAATTGGGTAAATGGAGGCTTCACATATGTGAAATCAAACCACAGAAGCATTGAGTTCTACAAGTTTTGGTACAAATCTCGTCTGAATTATCCACACTTACATGACCAAGATGTGTTTAACAAGATCAAACATGAGGCTAGAGTGTCAGAGATTGGGATCCAGATGAGATTCTTTGACACGGTTTACTTTGGTGGGTTTTGTCAGACGAGCAGGGACATAAACTTGGTGTGTACGATGCATGCTAATTGTTGTATTGGTCTAGAGAAGAAGCTTCATGATCTTAACCTCGTTCTTGATGACTGGAGAAAGTATTTGTCTTTATCTGAACAACCTAAGAATACGACTTGGAGTGTTCCTATGAAGTGTTTGTGGAATTAAAAGACTCAAATTCGGTTTGAGGGGTGATTTCGTTGTTTAATTTGCGCCAAAAATAAAACTCTGAAAATGGGTAATTGTGTTTAATGTAAGAAAGTGAAGCTTTGAGATTGAAGAACAAGAGAGAGATGAGAGAAAAGAGTAAAGAAAGAGAAACTTTTTCCCTTAGATCTAAAAATAATGTTACAATGAGTTATAAAGAAAGAGAACATTCATATTCTAGTAACCAAACACACTTGGCTTACTAGAGAAGCTAGAATAAATAACTAATTTATTTTATTTACTTCAATACTCCCCCTCAAGCTTTGCCATGCCATATGGTAAAGCTTGGAACCATGAAAAACATCCCTCGTTAAAACCTTTTGTATAGAAAAACCCAATGGGACAAAACCACACAAAGGAAAAAGAGTAGATGCTTCATGGCTTAAGGAGATCATGATCTATCAAGGTCTATGAGTCCTAATCTCGGATGAATGAACTCACAGACTTTACTACTTGCTCCTTTGGTAAAGATATCAGCCAACTGGTCTTCACTTCT